TGGGTGGGTGGATGAACAGGACTGGGACTGGGAGGCGAAGCCCCGGGGCCTTCCTGTCATGGGGGTGGGAACATTGTGTGCCGTCTCTGGGAAGCACTGTGTCAAAGCACCCGATACAGGTCCAGGAATGCAGAGCTGGGGACGGAGGCCGGGAGGGGCATGAGAGTGTAGGGACATAAGGCCGGAGGGGCGGCCAGGGAAGGAAGTGGAGAGGACCAACACTGGTTGAGCACCTACCGTGAGCTGGGGCTCATGGAGACAAGAGACAGGGGAGCTTAAGGTTGCTGGCACCTGTCCCTTCAGCATAAGCCCTTACTTGGGGCTGCCTCTTTTACGAGACAAGCCTGATCAGCACCCAGCCACGTCCTCTCTGAGTGGGGCCCCGAGCTAATGGCCACACCCCCATACACAGGCCGCTTTCCCAATCACTTCCTAGAACTCTCTCGGGGGAAACAGTGCCAGCCTCTCACCAGCTCCAGGCCTTGTACGCCCAGCGCTCATGGCCAGAGGCGTCTGCCAGAGGAGAGCTGGGAGAGGGAGCTTCTCGCCTCGCCCCTCTCCTGCCCCGGCCCTACACACCCCGTGAACGTGACACGCCTCGAGTTAGCAGGACTCTTGGGCATAGGCCCGGCATGTCCAGAGAGCTGCCTTTAGAGACCTCCCCAGAGTGGGCGGGGTCCCCCAGGCACCGGCTCTGCCCTTCCCTCTGTGGGTTCTGTTTAAGCCCCAGTTCCCCTAGTGGCTCAAGTATTGTCACTCACTGAGCTTCACTGCGGGTTGACAGAGAGGCTGAGGAGAGTCATGTTGAGGGCAGAGTGCAGCCCCAAGCAGGCTCCCAGTTATCACTGGAGGTGGCCATGGTGCTGTGACAAACTCTGGCCTTAGCCTGCTGAGGCCATCTCAGGGGCCTGCTCGAAATTTCCAAAGGTGGGTGGCAAAACAGATTTAGGTGTCCAGTCAGAATGAAACCCATACTCACTTCCACCGTCTATGGCCTCTCAGCATCTGCTCCATCCACTTACCCCCATGCAGTACAGACCACCCAGGCCCCTGAGAACCCCCAGGCCTTTTCAGAGCAGCAGAGAAAAATGGAGCAGTTCACAGCGTCGGACCGAGTGGGCGTTTCTGCACCCAAGCCCCAGGAAAGTCCATGATGATGTCCCAGGACCCCTCGATTCTTTGGCGAGAACTCTGCTGGGCAGACAAGAAATGGGGGGAGGGGCCTGGAAGAGTCCACGCACTCTGCGGGGCCCAGGCCTGTGAGCAGAGCTCTCCCCACCAGGTCCCCTGTGAAGCCACCACACCCACCGGGTCACTACAGCCACCGCAGAGGCCCCAGCTGCAGCCGCTGCACCCCTTTCGGCTCTCGGAGTAACACCCTTTCCCATTTCTGTTTCCTCAGGTTTGTCTCCAAGAAAGTATTTTATCACTTGACAGTTGACCGGCCTGTGATCTACGATGGAAGTGATTTCCCGTAGCTGCACGCACCTGGACTGGACTAGTTTCACTTTATCCACAGGAAACACTACTCCCTCACCTGTCACATAAAACACTAAAAAAAAAAAAAAAAAGGCAGCCGCTCTGAAGCTGATCCACCAACTATGCAACTTGGGCGACGGGCCCGTGGCCGCCCCTCACAGCTGCGTTGTCCGGGAGTGCTGTGCACGGGCACCCCCGAGGCTTCTAAGGGCTCAGGCAGCGTTTCCACCGGTTAGGGACCCCGCTGCTCTACACCCAAAGGGACGCTCTGCCAAAGGGCTGAACACTCAGGAGACCATCGGCCTCTCCTAAGGGGCACAGTGGTTCCAAACCTCCTCTGAAGAGTTTCACAGGCTGGAGGTGATGCCAACTGCTGTTCATGGAGAGAGCTGCCCTGCTCTGCTCAGCCGGGGCCCAGGCATCCTGGGTGAACATGAGCCGGGATGCCCTGGCCAGACCCTGAGGCCCTCGGGTCCTCCCAGGAAAAGGAGGCATCAGGGACCTCGTGAGATTCAGGGCGCCCCGGGGTCCCTCCCAAGGTCTCCACCAGCCTCTTCCCCTCATGTTCCTGCCCAAGTTGGGGGACTGCTCCAGAAATGGCACGTTCAGAGGGGCGTCTAACTGCACCTCCCTCCTGGCCCTTCTGCCCGGGCAGTTGTGTCGTCCAGCAGAGCCCTCCACTCAGCCAGGCCTCTCACCTGCACAGCAAAGCACCCTAAGCAGGGCTGTGCGTTGGTCTTAGGTCCCCCTCATCTGCCGGCCGCCTTTGTTTATATAGGTAAGAGCTTCTGCCTCACCTGCAGATATGTTCACTAATGATCCAAATCAGGGTAAGAACCACTTTCAAACATGGGGGCCTGCTTAACAAGTCTTCGGTAACTCAAGTGCAAACACATAACTCGTGAATCTGCTCTTTGTTCACTTTCTGAGCCCTACTCCCCACCTGCCACGTTTCCCGGCACCCCATTTGCCCACTTCCTGCTGCTCAGCCTGTACGTGACGCCCAGAAGCCATTTCCTCTGAGGGCAGATGGACCCTGTTTCCTTTTCCTGGACAAGGAGATAACCGTCCTATTCTCTGTGACCCTTTCTTCTCCCACCACAGACAGTTCACCTGTGGTGGCCTCTGTGTCTTTTTCACAGAGGCCAGCCGCCTGTAGCCAGGACCCTGGTGCGTCCACAGGTGAGCAGAGTGTCCGGTGAAGCGACCCACGTTGGCCCGGGATGAGGGGGAGGGCCCCGGGCAGCGTGTCTGAGGCTCTGCGTGCTGGGCCCGGGCAGCCCTCCAGCTAGCCTGGCGACCCAGGCAAGTCACACCACCTCAGAACTTCCTTGGTCATCCACAAACCTGTTCTGACTGGTTTGGAGAGCTTGAGAATGGGTCAGGGACCCCAGGCTAAGTCCAGCACAGACCCCATCCCCACTTTCACCAGCAGAGGACGCTAGGGGGCGGGATAAGAGGGAATGACTCCTGCAGTGGACTTAGACCTTTCGTTTAAACAGGAGACTTGAGCAAGGCCAGTCAATTTAAGTGGAGCATGGGGATTGGTGAACAGAACCTTCCAGAGAAAAGCTGGGCCTCTTTTGCTCTCTCCTCGGAGCAGCCTCCTCTGGCAGAAAGCCATCAGGGTCTCTAGCATCTCCTTTGGGGCAAGGCCTTGATGGTGCTCAGCGCCACAGCAGAAATGGCCAGGCCCCCGGAGACTTCCTAGCCACCTGCTTTGTCCTCAGGCTTGCTACAGCCTGAGGGTTGGTCCAGAGCCAGCTAGCCTGCCTTTTAATCCACCCAGCCCCTAGGAAAGGACCAGAAGGAGCTGGTTCATCACATGAAAGAAACGGACAGTTAAAAGAGAACCCAGAGCAGTCTGGGTTCTGGTTCTGAGCTCTCGGCGTTCCCAGGATACTGTGGAGACTGGCCCAGCCAATGGCCTGCTGGTGTCATCACCACCATCCGCAGCCAGAACCAGAATCTAGTGAGTAGCTGATGTTTCCATCCAAGACCGGCTCTGAACCTCTGTCATTCAGCCCAGTAGGCGACCTGCTGCAGCTCTAAAACCACTGGGCTCTTCAGCCGAGAGCCCCCCCCCCGCCAGGAGAGCAGGGGCCCCTTGTGGTGTGCGCCCCTCGCGCGCTGACTGCAGTTGACTGCTCCCCAGCGGTCACGTCCTGCCTCTAGCGTGTTTATTATTTGTGCTGGACGGACTCCTGTCCTTTGTTAGTTTGCTGTGCAGGCTCGAGTGTACCATGCGCTCTGCAGCTAGAGAACATCTTGGCCTATTTGAGTGTGGCTTGTATAAATAGCTTTATTATTTTAAACAGGTTCCCAGCTTTACTGAGGTTTGGGGGTTGGCGTACTTTGAAAACAATGCAAATGACAATGAAGTACAACTATTGAAGCCCAGCCAATAGACAGGATTACACCAGAAATCAAGAAGAAAACATCCTTGAGATCCCAGATCACTATTAAAAAAGTAAAATCTAAAAACCCAGCAGCCCCTTGATGGTCCAGCTCTCTGAATAACACTTATTTTTTAGTATTGATGCCAGCTGCCTTGTGCACCCCGGCCTCAGAAGCTGCTGATCAATCTCACCAAGTGGGCAGCCTCTTTCAGGGACACTCACCCACAGCAAGGCAGCACATGTGGGATCAAGTGGCCTCTACCGAGCACTGGCTGGAGCCCACTGGACTCCAGGTTGACAGAACTAAAGCAAAGAAATTCTCAAGCAGGAATCTAGAACCAAAAAACCCCACAGGGTTTGGAAAGTAGAAATGAAAAGCCCCGTAATGTAACTCGAAAATCAAGGGGATGGTTTTTCTGAACTTTTTCAGTTGTCACCACCTGAGGTGGCGAAGCCATTGCAGATCCCATGTAAGGAAATCCCCGCTTGGGGACGAAATCTTAGAGCCTTGTCTTTCGATACTGGTTAGATGTCCACTGATAAGAGTTTTACAGGAGTTTTATTTGTAAAAGTTCACATTGGTAACCACGTGAGGCGGCCATCCTTGACTCAGGTGTTGAGAATTAAAGCAGAGAGAAGCCATTTGTGGTGCTTAGAGCCAAGAGTCGCCCTGCAGAGACAAGTCAGCCAGCTGTCCACGCTGGCAAAACACCCAAAAGACACTTTCTGGTGGAACTTTGGCTAAGTTTTTCTCATTTCGTTGTGATTCTACCAAGAAAACAGCAACAACTAAATTAGTAATAACTTTTCCCTCTTGAGCACTTTTTTAAAATAATGAAGTATATCTTTAAGTTTAGGGAGGCTTCCGTAGAACCTTACGACGAGCGTTATCCAGAGACGCTCCTGCCTCTGGTGGCTGCAGAGTACACCGGCCTCAGTTGGACGCCCTCCAATCAGAATTGCACTGTAACTGACTATTCTCACAGCCTTATGGGATAGTGGGTCTGGGAGCCCAGTTCATTCTTATCTGCCAAAGAATTACCCAGAAGCACATCAAATGCCAACACCCCACCTGCACAGTGGGGATGAGAAACGTTTGTATCCCAGAACATATTCCTTTATAGCATCTGCTGCACCATTTGGAAATATTCTTAACCTCAGGATTTAAATAAACACTGACATTGAGAGTACTGTCGCCTTTCATTTGTTGGGACATAAGGTGTGCGATGAAGTTACCTGGACCAGGGTCGGAGTTGAGCTGCCCTGCCAGCAGATGGGCCATCATATCAGACCGAGGCTTTTCAAAAGCCAGATGTCCTGAGAGGTCGCCACACCACCTGATGCCTGGATACTTCCCAGTGTCCTCAGGCTGGTGTTCAGGTGGCTGAGCCGAGGCATCCTTCCAACCACTGCCCTCTGCCCTCCTCAGTTCAAACGTCCCCAGCCCTGTCTCCTGGCACTCGGAGCACCGTGAGCCAGCAGCAAACCTCTGGTTTACCAGCATAGTGAGGTCGGGGGAGAAGGTCATGGATGGCCTAACGCCACAGTCCAATCTGGTACAAAGCTGGGCAAGACTGCCAGGCCAACGCAGCGGACAGAGGGAAGAGTCTATGCTCCCACCGCAGCTTACACGGATGTTGCTGGGTCAGGCCCGGAGTGGCGTGTCCCAGCCACACTCCTGGAGCAGTCAGATGAAGCTCAGGCTGGGCAGTCCACATCCGCACTCACCTCATAGCCCACCTCTGGGGATGACAGGGCTTCTTCTCTAGTGCCCTGTACCTCACAGAACACCTCCCAAACCCTGTTGCCTCCAACCCTCCCTCCTCCAGCCCCCTCCTGCCCCCAGATCCTCTTCTTTAATCAGTTATTCAGGAATAAGTTACCCTGTCTGCATCGGTGTTCTCCCTGGAATGCAAGGACCGGGTTCGTCCATCTTCACCTCCATCCTTTCCCTCACCCCCACAGCATCGAGCACTCTGCCAGACAGGAGAGCGATCAACAGTTACTGAACCCGTAAGGACACCGGTCAGCTATAGGCCATCAACAACCCCGTTGGCCAAGTCAGCCAGGGACAGAAGCCCCTGGAACTCCATGGCAGAGGAGGGCCAAGGGCAAGCCTACAGGAGGAGGTTGGGGGAGGATGGAGGTGATCTGAGCGGTCACTTGACTCTCCCTCCTGCACCCCGTCTTGTATTAATGGTGCCCTCAAATCAAGCTTCAGTCTGTCCAGTGACCAGCTCGAAGTAACGGGAGGTTGGTTCATCTATGTGCCCAAATCAGTGCAGTGGAAGGATTTCTTTGTTAATAGAACAGCCCCTCCGGAGGCTTGGTCTCTTAGACGGGTTGGAATGAGAGAGAACCTACCAAGACACGTCGAAGTGCATCCGGGGGTGGGATCTGGGGGCCTCTGTCAGAACCCCCATCGCACCTCCCCCCACATACTAAACCCCTGAGCAGACTTAGTACTTCGATGACCAAAGTCCGCTCCAGATTCCCCAAGCCCCACACTCAACCCCAGGATCCTGGCCCATCTCAGTGCTGCCGGCACCCTGGCACTTGGAGGGACCACGACTCTTCCAGCCACGTCGCCCCGTGGTGCTGGGGCGTGTTGTGGTCCCCGGGTGACTCAGAAGGACACCCAGCAAGGTCGCCCTTTCGGTTTGAAGATGCGTGGGAAAAATCTGGTGAGAGGAGCTCGCCGCCCACACATGTCTGAAAAGCAAATAGATGGTGAAAACCCAAGATGAGAAAGCAGACTTTTTTTGAGGGAGCCATGAAGAAGCAGGGGGGAGCGCATAGCTATTATGAAAGCCTTTCAAAGTGGGTTAGGGTTGAAGGAAAGGTCAGCCTTTTACTTTTCCCACACGCGATGTGTTCTGAAGAAGGATAGTAAAGCTGATGCGTGAGGGCCAGCCTCTGGTCTTGGATGTGTGTCCCCTCCCCCCCATCTCGGGGCTCTGTGGGAGGACAAAGACTGCGATTTCCTCACACCTCTGGCCTGCATGTACTGAGGTTATCTCAGAGGTGGCAGCCCCATCTGAAGCCTGGGGATGAATGAAGTCTGCTGAGCTAAAAAGTGAACAAAATGAGACGCCTCACCAGGCCCGAGACGTGTGCGTGTCCTTACCGAAAAGTACCTCACTTCCTGGCCAGGTTTTGCTTTGGCCGGTGGCTTCATGGAATCATTAAAGAGAAGGTGATTTCAGGAGGCTCTCCCAGGTTTCTGCTCCCAAGAAGCCTCTGAGCCATGAAAGAGAAGGAAACCATTCCTGTGAGGCCCAAACCTCCATCTGCCAGGTCAGTGGGACAGGCGTCATCTCCTCCTGGCGTTAGAAAGGAAAGTAAGTGAGGGGGGATAAGGATGGGAGAGCAAAGGTGCGGGAGAAAAGAGGGCGAGCAGGAAGGGCCTTCTCAGAGGCTTCGAGGAGGTCTGGACCGGAGGCCAGATTAGCAGAGGCCACCTTTCTCAGTGGAAGAAAGGAGCAGTGGGGAAAGTGGCGGCGTTGGTGTGACGAAAGCCAACTACCATGTCCAGCGGAGGCGACATTATAGTGGGAGCAAGATGGGGACTGCTTACTAAACAGACACCAAAGCGGTGACTACAGAATAGAAGAGTCCAGTTTCTACTTCTGGCTCCGAAGGCCTGGCATGCTTTCACGCGAAGGGCCTGGGGAGTGGCGGCACCATCCGTCCTCCTAAGAAACCTTTGCCCAAGAAGGAGGCCCATGTGTGGAACCAAAAGCCTTCGTAAAGACAGCCCTTCTCCACCAGCAAGGGTCCCCACAGAATGGTTGGGTGTTCTCAGAAAGAGGACCGTGTGTCCATGCCCCAAGATGACCAGTGGAAGAGGGGCAGGGAGCCAGAAGCCTTGTCGGACCAGCCCTAGAGCCTCGTCGGTTACCAAGGCTTCAGCCATCAGGCTGTCAGGAGAATCCCAACTGACCCAGGGCTCATTCTTGCTCCAGAATCAAACTGTTCATTTAGTGTCAGTTCATATAAAGCAAGTACCAAAGAGTTTTTCAGAAGAAAGTTCTCTTATTTTGGTTACCTGGTGGCCTATTAAAAGGCAGAGTCATGGGCACCGCCCATATCAACGCTGGTTGATCAGATCTGGTTCATTCACAGGTCTGCCAGGCGACGCCGGCAGAAGTGATCCATGGACCCTGCCAAGAAAGTCATTGATGATGGCTGCTGTGCCCCCCACTTTGGTTACAATTTGAGGAAAGGGTAAAATGTGCTAATGGATCTTCCTCCTAATTTAACTCTACCAGCGGCCCTTAGGTCTTGGAACTTGGACTTCTCTATCAATTTGTTGGCCCAACCCCTGGGATGCAGTGATGGAAGTTTCATTCTCAGAGAGGAAGACATTTCTAAACGATCCCCCTGGTATGAAACTTCTACAGGTAAAACCTTAACAACCACAAATTTTGAATGACTTTGATTTGTATTCAAGAGACATGTTGTTCCCTGGCAGGCCATTTGTAAATGGAAAAACATCCCCTTCCCCAACTCCAAAATAGTTCCATGCATGTCCAAAATTTAAGAATTAGAGAAATATGAGTTTGGTACCAAGAGACATAGGCTGGGGGAGATCAGGTTAAACATGGGTTCCTAAGCAGAATTCAGAAGATCAACAAAGTTGGATAGGGGCAAAACAGCCTCTTTCTTTTAACTTCTAACTAAAATTTAGGTCCTCCCTGAGTTCTGAATATAGACAACATGCCACACTAGCATTAGCAAGACCTGTGGCTTTGTCACCAGTGGAAATGACAGATATTTTCTTATTAGATGACAGCTGTTGCAGACTCAAAATATCACTTATGCTCATCTCCACTCTGAAATGACAACTGTCAGTAAACCTGCTGGTAGATTTTATTTAATGCATTAACACAGAGATGCATGTATTATTAGTCCATAAATCTTTTAATATCTAGAGAATTATATTTCAATATAATTGGTTTCTGTTTGAATCCTACATATTTTATTCATTTTAAAACATCCTGGGCTGGCCGAGTGGCTCAGCTGGTTAAGAGCTCGCTTGGGAGCCCCGGCTCTGAGCAGCAGGGCTGCGGTTCAGATCCCACATTGAGGGCCAGTGATGCTGTCCCCTCTACAGCTAAGATGATGAACAACAGTTCGACCTGGAGCTGGGCTGCTGTGAGTCGCCAGCGGCCGTAGGCTGCAGCAGGGCTGCAGTGGGCTGCTGTGAGCTATGTGAGTAGCTGGCAGCCAGTGAGAGTGGCTGGTAGCCGGTATGAGCTGCCGGGAGCCACTTTGAGAGGCCAATCAGTGACCGGCAACCGATTGCCTCACCCAGGAAGAGCACAATGATCATACCAACATGGGCCAGTGAAGCGATGTCCTCCACAACTAGACTGAAGAACAAAACAGCAATTTGTCTACCTGTCTGTTCCCCTTCCCTAATTCCCCAACGCTGTTCCCCTCCCCCCAATTCCCCAATAAAATCTTTAAAAAAATTAAAAATAAAAACATCCTGAGACGGGGGCTATAGGCTTTGTGAAGTGGCTGACACAGCTCTGTCTCAGGTGTTGGCAGGCAGCAGTCTGAGCCCTCACCAGGCCTGGGAAGGCACTGACAACCAGCTCCTCTCAGGCTGCCTATAGGTAACAGGGCGGCATTACTACCCAAAGGACATAATGTCCCATTGCTCAAAGTTGTCAGTCTTTATTTTTTCAAAGTTTTCTTGCAGCTGATTTCTGATACGTGAAGTACAAACTTGAGACATGACTAATTTTAGACTTTAATAAATTCATTAGTATAACATATTGTGTCTACTACATACAAGGCATTGTGTGTGGAGTGTGTTTGGCACGTACGCCAGATCAGGAACACATGCAGAGCTGTTTGTCCAAGAGCTTACCCAAAGAGGCTGCCACTTGAGAGGCTTGTCCTGGGAACTGTCCACACACCAGTTGATAAGCCATACAAGGACACCAGCTTCATGATTCTAAGCCAAGGGGTATCGCCTGACAGAGCCTTCTATACCTTCCTCTGATACCTGAGTCCATGTGGCACTTGGCTTTTCCACTTTGCTAGAATATAAGCACCTTGACGGAAAGGACAATTCTCACCTCAGTGAGTAGAAAGGTTCATGGTACAAATGTTTGCCGAATAAATGAAAGAATGAATGAGTATTCTGTAATCCTGAGAGACAATTACAAAAGGCCAAATTTCTAGTCATTCAAGTTGACCACTTCAAAACAGCAATCCCCACTTGAATATGCATGTTGTGATGTGTCGACTTAAAATTAGTTAAAAGTTTTTTGGTTAAAAAAAAGACACCAGTTTCTTCTTCTGTAATGAAAACATCATATTTCATTCAGTTTCTTCATTTTTCTGATTTATAGAGTTCTAGTAAAATGTAATTGTATTTAATAGCTCCTTTTATCTTTATTTTTAAAAGTACGCACACAGCATATATTCTAGAAATGTTGAGTGACTCACAGCTTCCTCATGGATTTCCCCATGTTGACTTTTCCAACATTTTTATCCTAAGAGAAATATGTTACTGAAACCTAGTTTAATTTGAATGTAAAATGGTCCTATGTATGCAATCACTTAAAAGCTAAGACAATTTGCCAACAAAAGATGCTTAAAATCTTTAAAATATAATACAGTTATAGCATGTCTTGACTCCTGCTTGGAAGCTGTGTTAGGGCTGGGACAGTCCAATAGTGACAGTCGGGCACTAAAGGAAGCCCTTGGAACCACACATGATCATGTGCATTAGGGTGCAATGCAGGGCTCGTGGTTCTTGTGGTGTCCCCACATCGCCTTTCTTAAAAATCAGAGAGGGGCAAGATGGAGCTCCTGGCTCTTTTTTTTCAACTAATGTACGTTGGCCAAAGTCATATTTACCTCTAAACTCCCACTAAGACTCCATCATATTGTCATTTAAGTAACTCTAGACTGAGAGTAGACTCTACAGACACAACCGTGGCTCACCCTTCCTCTTTCCATCCCTCCCCTCATCCTCATCTCCACTGGAACCCCCATGACACATGGTGCTAGCACCGCAGTATCAAGAGGGCACTGAATGGAAAAGCCAAACTCAGTGGTGACCTTTCCACATAACTGTACAGTGTGATTTAGGTTTGGCTCATGCATATTGCTCAAACGTCCATGTTCCCCAAGTGATCTCTGGGTCTTCTCCTGGAAACGGTGGCCATACGGACGGCGCTGTCTGTTTTCTGACCTTGGAGAAGACTTGCTCCCCTTGACTGTAGGCAGCGCTTGTGGTTCTGGGGTCCATGTTGATGTGCTGGTCCCAGGTTAATGCTTATTTGCCCCCAACTGCCCACACCTGGGATGGGGTAGTGACGCCTTTGCATCATCCTCTTGTTCACCTGCCCATTTTCTGCTCTCTGTCTCACTAACATGTAGTTCAGAAGTGGGCAGGAGAAGGAGGAGGATGTGGTCGAGTCCAGTGCTTTCATATCCCCTTTGGAAGGGAAGGCCTGGGAAATGAAACCACAGAAATTCACAGCACATTGGGAAAATCAAATGCTTCCTCGAGAGCCACAGGTTCACGGTGCTGCTCCAATGGTCCTCCTTGGAAATTCCACTGGGCTAACTGGGAAAACTTGGAGGTCAGTTTGACCGAAGGAGAGGTAAAACCTGGTCAGCCAAGATGCTTTCAAGGTACTTTGGAGATTTCACTTCCCTATCCCAGTCTCTTACTCTCTATATATGGCTATTTGATCTGTAATTGTGTACCTAGTTAAAATATAGAGACAGGGTGAAGAAAGTGACCGGTCATGGATATTTTTAAATGTATATTACAAAAATTCTTTTCTAATAAGAAATGTTTTCAAATGTGATAAATTTGCCAAAGCTAAAAGAAAGACACAAAGCAAAAAACAAAGAATTCTATTACTTTTTTTAAAAGCTTTTAAACATGCTAACACTATACAGTAAGAAAGGAGACGCATGGAGGCAAATGTCCTTCCAGCAGCCTCAAAAACAAGAGGGCCGATAGTACCAACCCATTGTATAGGTAGCGAAATGGACCATCACCAAAGCCACTCGGCAGAGCAAGTGCACCCCAGTGTCAGGGTTCCAGGGCTGGTTCCTCCAATTCAGATTCTCAGTCTCCCTGCACAGGCTGAGAGGACCACTTCCACAACACCAGTGGACAAGCTGAATCCTCGCCCAGGTCAACCCTGCAGCCAGACATGGAATCACAGGGCACCAAAATAGTGGAAGCCACCAGAATCTGGATGACTGCTGCTATGGTGGGTTGCCTAGGCGCTCACTGACTAAGTCCTGCAGAGAGTTTCAAAACGGGAAAAAGACCCTCCCTGGCCCAGAACAGATCAAGGAGACCAGAGGAGAATTAGATCTGAGGTTGTTTGGAATGACTCTAGATCAAGAACCTATAAGAGCTGGCATGGGTATCAGCCCCCAAACCAGGGTAGGAATACCCCAAAGATGGAAGTTTTCATGAAACTTTGTGCTTTTGTGGACTATACAGAGTGGCCAATGCTTCTGTGTTTCCTTTTGGAAGGGGTGGCACAGAACTAAAACCACAGCAATTCTCAGTGCACTGAGAAGCTCAGACACCTCCTCCAGAGGTCAGCTGCATTGATGCCCGGGCAGGTGACACTGGGGTGGTCTGCCATTAGGCCTCTGAAAATTCCAGGCATTGCAGCCAGGAGCCAGTCAACAGTCTCTGTCATAGCCAGTCAGTTTGAGAACTCTAGCTTGGCAAATTCTGACTCAAAGCAATAACGTTTAAATTGATCCCTTTCTGGGTTTTTCTTGTTTTTCTTTTTCTCTTCCTCACTTCCGTTTTCTTCTTTGGTTTCCCATGGGTTCCATTGGTTGGGAAGCTGTTTCTATATTTCTTGTTACTTCCAAAAGGACCATTCACCTCAGACAGAAGACCCCTCAGAGGGAGAGAGCTCCTGAGGTCGTCTGCAGCAACGTAGATGACAGCTTCAAGCTACCCTCTCTCCTTGTGAAGGAGACCCACTGAGCCTGGGTGATGCAACCCAGGTGCTTCAGGGTTTTCACAAGATCCCGGCGGAATCTCTCCCCCACAAAAACGTAGAGGACAGGGTTCAGGCAGCTGTGGAAAAAGGCAATGGTTTGAGTGACCTGGAGGCAGATGTCAATGTTGGTGGAAATGGCACAGTTGGAGATGAAGTTGATGTAGGCATCAATGGTCTGCACCAACAGAACGCAGTTGTAGGGTAACTGAGATAAGACGAAGACAGTAAGGACAGCGATGGTCACCCTTAGGGCCTTGTGCTTGGACGACTTCTTGGCTTGGGTCAGAGTGTGAATGATGATGGTGTAGCAGCAAACCATGACCACAACGGGAAGGAAGAACCCCAGGATGACCTTCAGGGTCAAGACAGCTGACTTCAGTTTGGTACTCTCATCATGAGGGTAAACCATGGTGCAGATGGTAATGTCAGATTCCTTCTTGGTTTGGCTGTACAGGATTTCTGGAATGCAGAGTATGGCCGCTGCCACCCAGACAGTCACACAAACCATTTTGCTGTACAGAAGCCTTTTCTGCCTCCAGGTCTGCGCCTTCATGGCCTGGCCGATGGCGATGTACCTGTCCACACTGATGCACATGATCAGTAGCACACAGCTGTAGAAGTTCATCTTGTACATGCTGTTGATCACTTTGCACATGAAGGTTTGGAATTTCCACTGGTCAGCAGCAGCGATGGCCCAAAAGGGAAGAGTGACGAGAAAGAGAAGGTCAGCGATGGCCAGATTCAATAGGAACATGTCGGTCATGGTCTTCACTCGTGTGCAGTACCAGTAGACAAGGATGACGAGGCTGTTGCCTATGGTACCCATGATGAACACCAGCCAGTACAACGGTGGGAGGAAGTGGCTTGCAAACTGCCTAACATTGTTTTTCTTACAGAAGAAGTCTGTGAAGTTGTTCACATAGTCATCTATGAAAGATGTGGAGTCATAGTTGTAGTCATCAGACAGGTTAGGGACAAAACCCTACAAGGAGACACGACACAGCATTAGATCAAGGACAATCTTTTGGAGGGCCTGCTTGATGGCAGAGGCATAGACCACTTGACACTTCCAATCCCAAAAGTCTATGATAAGACAAAAAAAATGTATGTGTAGAAAGTAGGAATTCTGGGAGTATCTGCTTAGATTATAATACATTTATTTCTCCAACAAAAGTTTATTGAGCACCTACAATATGTCAGGTACTGTGTACGTGCTAAAGATACAGTAGTGAATAAGTTGGACACGGTTCCTGCTCTCATGGAACTTGCCTATACATGGAGGGTACATACAAGAGAGTGAATAATTATAGGACACATGGCAAGTGGAGTAGGACCACTGATGGGCACAAACTTTTATCAGACTGTGAATGATTCTGACCATCACTTCTCTCTGTTCTCCCCTCCCAAAAAGGTCCTCAGCAGTTCTTAAATGTTTCTGGGGGTATAGATCCCTCTGAGTTTTCTGAAAGCTATGGGTCCTCTGCTCCAGAAGCACCTACATACACACAAACACTCGCATGTGCACACACACATGCACACACTCTCACATATGTGCACATACACAAGCACCAGGATGGGCTACCTAATTTTCAGGATTCCTTGTTCTAAATTTGTTAAGAATTAAATGAAGCAAGTGGCCCTTCTAAGTACAGGGCCCTGGGCAACTGTACAGGGAAAATGCCCATGAAGCTGACGCTCACAAGCACACACATACAAGCACACACACAGTTCATGCATAGATTCGTGCGCGCACACACACATATGCACAAACATGCCTACACACAAGCTCACATGCACATATGTATGCACACATATTCACATACACACACGTGCACACTATTTAGACACATGCACACACACCATCACAATGCACGCATGCGCGCACACACACACCCCTCATTACAGTTTTGGTGGCTTCCTGGCTCAGAAGCTCAGAAGTCATCCTAGAACCTCTGCTAGAGGAAGAGGACATAAGGGGTGACACTCAGAACCCTGAGACATGAACCCTTGAGTCAAATCTGGGACAGGAGGGAGGGAAGAGAGGGCTGCCGGGATGGAGGAGAGACACAGTCCCACATCTGCCATGTTCCAAAGGCTCCACTCACATACCTTCAAACGCTCTCACTTCCCATCAGTCCCTTCCCAGAACTCCCAGTGGGGCCCCCAAATTCCACTAGGGACCACCAACTCTTGCTCCCATGCCCTGAGGCACATTCCTTGTCAAATCTCATCTCTACCTTTATTTCTCCTCAGGCAAATGCAACAGCTGTTCATCGGGGTGCATTTGGACTAGAAGTAATCTCAAATCCATAATAGGTTTTTATTTTGTTTTAAATATTAAATATTTACATCTAAATATTTAGTTTATATATTTAACTCATCATATTGAAATAATAAAATATCCTCTGCCAGACTTCTGTTAGCCAGGTTCTCCCCATCTATACATGTTGTAATTTCCACCTATTTCTAATAGCTTCAACCAGCACTTCCCAAACCACGTTTGGAACACTACTGGTGAAATGGTTGGAATCTCTGCATACTATATCACCTTCTTTAAAATTCACAATACTCATAAGCATATTAAAGGCTCTGAAAAGCCCTGCAGAACTTGTTTTATTTTAACTGCACATTAGAACAATAAAGGTTCTGCTAAGTCCTTCAAACCTGTTGAATTTTGTTCAACAATGTTTCCTAAACTTATTTGAGCATGAAACCCATTGTATGTGTTTGTGGAGTGCTTAGTAAGATGCTAAGACACACTGAGTTGACTGATAAAGAACAGTAGATGTCAGAAGGCTGTTGTCTCCTGAAGCCTGGAGCTCACACCAAGAGCCAAGGAGATGCATCAATTCCACTTGGGCCTGGGCTGGCAGACGATACCAGCAGGACCCCAGGGAGGACACCCACGGTAACGTGGACTACCAGTAGGAAAATCTGGAATCTAGTCCTGACTCCATCTCTATCTACTATGTGACCAAGAGAAAGTCCTACTGAAGAGAAAGAGACCCCAGGGGATTGGATCCAGGAGACAGCTCTTCAGGACCAGGCAGCTAGAAATGGCCCAGGGTTGGGAAGAGCTGAGGAAAACTCACTGTTTTTTATGTGCTTCCTCCTTAGGCCGGATGGATCCATTCTCAGTTTACATTTACAGATTTCCCTTCCAGCTTTGGCCATTGTCTGGAAAGCCAGTCTCTTGGGAGGACAGACCTCATGGGCGACACATATTTTAGTGAAGATTTGGGGAGGGTGACATTTTGGAGGAAAGTCAGTAAAACCATGCAGACCAGCTGGTGTAAACTGTGAATCCACATGATGATGAGTAAGCATGAAACTGCTTTCTTAGAGGTTTTGTTTTTGTTTGTTTTTACATTTTGGGGCAAAATAGCTTCAATAGACTTTCACATGAATCTGGGCACAATGCTGTGAGATAAGGAGACAAACAACATCCCCGTTCACAGATGCAACCCAGAGAATCTCACAGAGGGGACCTCAAGCAGTCCCACTGTCCCAGGAGACCCAGCTTTCTCCACTGCCCGGTGAGTGGGCTTATGACCACCACTCCCCAAGATGAGTCCCAGAATGAGGACACGTGTCCCACTTGAAGCACAGGGAGTGTGTTTCCTTGTTGGGTGAGGGTTGGAAGAATCAACTCTTCAGCATAGAATTATATTTAGTTAGGGACTTCCCAGGCATATTTTAAAAGCCATTCGATTCACACACACACACACAAAAAAAAACCTGGATTTGTATAAATTTTGACAAGACTGCATTTGATGTGGATAACAATATAAGCCTATATCATCGTTACAAGTTCAAAGCTTTAGCCATCTTTATGAACATAACAGAGCAAGAGTTGGCATCCCAGGCTGGGGAATCCTGGACAAAGATGTCTCACCCCTGTTGGGACTACACTTATAACTGTGTGTGTGCCCAGTGGATAAATAGCCTTTGGATCGTAGACACAGAATCCTTTGAAAATCTCCCAGCAAAAGTCGCGTCAATAGTTACCAATGTACTTATCCACTACTGTTGGAGTACCTAGTGCTTGTCAGAACCAGTGCTGAGCACATTACATGCATATGTTTAATCCTTGAGCTTCCAGGTAGGGGCAGGCCTTTCTTTCAGATGAGGGACTCCAGGCTTCCATGAGAAATTCTGAGGTTGCGAAGATGTTATTCCATCCTCCCTCTTCTGAGTTGTGTCCTAGAGACACGACTCTTGCTGAAGAAGCTAACGACAGAGGCTGTTCTCAAAGCCTGGGGTCACTCCAAAAAGGATCTCAAGAGAGGATTAGTGGAAGGCTCTGAAATCCACTCCATGTTTTTATCCATGTTCTGTCCAAGAGCACACAGTGGAGCCTTCTGGTTTGAGCACTCCGTAGACTTAATTCCCACCAGTTGCCCTAGCTTTATTCCTGGGATGTGCATTGAGGTGGGATCTAAGGAGCTCCCCGGGCAGACCACTCTCTCCCACACGGAGAACAGATCCTCAAGGGCCTTGTTCATACAGCTGTGTCCTTCTCACTAATATCTACCCTCAACATTTCTTTGGCATTTAAATACAAAAGAGCAGTGAAGCTTCATATCTCCTGAAGGACACCTACAGGGTTTTATTCTCATGAAACGTGAATTTTACGACTGATCAAGATTCCCTGTTTTTGTTGTTTTGTTTTGTTTGTTTTTTTCTTTAGATTCCATATAATTTTCAATAAGTTCCTTAAGCATCTTTATTACCAATCTTTTGAACTCTGTATCTGGTAGGTTATTTGTCTCCATTTCGTTTTGAGTTCTTTTTCTGGAGTTTTCTCCTGTTATTTCATTTGGGATGCATTTCTTTGTTTACTCACCGTGGCTGCCTCTCTGTGTTTGTTTCTAGGTATTAAGTAGATCTGCTATGTCTCCCAGTCTTGGCCGGGTGGCCTTATGCAGTAGGTGCCCTGTGGGGCCCTAGCATAGTCTCCCTGGTCACCTGCTCTGGGTGCTCCTGGAGTGTCCCTTCTGTGGGTTGTGTGTGCCATCCTGTTATAGTTGAGCCTTGATTGCTATTGGCACATCAGTGAGTGGGATTAATCCTCAGGCTGGTTGGCTATGGGGTTTGGCCATGTCCACAGCTTATATGCTGCTGTGCGGGGGGCTTACCACACTGAGTGGAATTTGCCCCAGCGGGCTCTGGTGCCTGCTGAGACTGCCCTTTGTGTGTGCCACTTGAAGGGCTAATTGGGTGGCGTGCAGCTGTGGTCTGAAGCCAACTTCCAAGTATGTTGGTTCTGGGGCATCTTGGGAGGGGCTTTGCTGCAGGCCCAGGTTACCCACTGCCTATGACCAGCTGGGGACTACCTGGTAGGATCTACAAAGCGATCAGTAGTTGTTCACTGCCTGTGCTAAAGTTGGAGGCATGTGTGAGAGACCACGCTGCGAAATAAGGATGTCTACCACCAGTACTGGGTCTGGGGTAGCTGCACAAAAAGCCAGGACACCCCAAGGCCTGCTGCCACCTGCCAGATCCCATAAGGTTCCGCCACTGATAAAGCCTCGTGAGAGCTGGGTGAGGCAAGGTCTCAGGGAGTCACTAGATTGGGAAGAGTTGTGGTCACCAGGTTAATGTAGACTCTGGTTTGGTGCCAGTGCTGAGCCTGGAGCTATTCAGCAAAGGTCTCAGAGCACACTGAGGCCAGTTGCCATCCACCTGGGGCCAGTGGACTCAGATAACTTTCCAAGAAAAAGTACAATGCAGGTGGGGCTGCTTGCTGCTTGCGGAGAAAGTGCCTCCAGCTGTGCAAACTTTGGGTGAGGCAGGATCCCAGCTGAGTCAGCAGGGCAGAGCAGCGGAGCTCACCAGGCCAATCAGATTCAGATTTGGCCTGTGGGGGCGGGCTCAACACAGGAAAGATGGCGCCTGCCTGCCCACTGCACAGGAGAACAACCTCCTAACAGGAAAATGGCAACTGTCTTCCAGCCCTCAACCCATAGCAACACAACTCAGTCTGCCCCCTGTATGTCTCCAACACCCCCTGAATTACTGTCCCTCTGCTGGAACCCAAGGTGAGTGCCTGGGAGTGAGAGAATCTGTACAAGGGCCATTTAAGAGAATGCCTGGGTTTCCTGTCGCCTTCTGTCCCACATGGATGGTCAGAATCTCCAGTTTTTCACAGCCAGATGTTGTGGGGGCGCCTCTTCCCAGCACCAGTACTCCGGGCTAAGGAAGCCAGTGTGGGCTGGGACCTATCCCTCCTCTGGGGGGCTCCTCCGCGGCTGAGATATCCCTCCCAATTCTCAACTGCCACTCGGAGGTTTGGAGCCAGCCTGTTTCATGTCTCCACCCCTCCTACCAGTCTTAATGTGGCTGCTTCTTTATATCCTCAGTTATAAAATTCTGTCCCAGTGTCTTCAGATGGTTCTCCAGGTTGATTGTTCTATAATTTAGTTGTAATTTTAATATGTTCGTGGAAGGAAGCAGGCACAGTGTTGATCTACTCTGCCATCTTGGATCTCTTTTTCTATAGATTCCCTTTTTAACTGGGAGCCTCAGCCAAACTTGTAGCCCAATTATAGAAACCGAACAAGACCCTTTAGACCAGAGTTGTTGGACAAAAATATAATGCAAACCACAGGTTAAGTTTGCATTTTCTAGTAGCCACATTAAAGAAATAAAAAGAAACAGGTGGAATCACTTCATAATGTATTTTATGTAAACCTGATATATCTAAAATATTATTATTTCATTATGTAAGCAGTATAAAATTTATTGAGATATTGTTTTAGATTACAGTTTTCAAACTGAGTGTATTTTGCACTCACAGGACATTTCAGTTGAAGCAGCCACATGTCAAGTGCTCAACAGCTCCACACAGCTTATGGTGACCTCACTGGAGAGCACCACTTTAGGCTAAAAATCCAAGTTCTAACTCCTCTTGGTCTTTTCTACTTATTCTATCTACCTTATCTGACTTTGTTTTAATTTATGTTCCTTCCCCCCTCCCCCGATTCTGTTGTTTATGTCCTTGTAAAGTGCTTCCAATGTGTTATGGAATGTGAGGCCAGCAGAGATTGAAAGCGTACTTTTGTTGATAGAAAAATGTCCCAGCCCTGCTGTCTGAAGAGGCTGACCCATTCTTTCCTATTTTATTAAAATGTCTAGAAATACTCTTACCAAAGGTTTCTCTTCCTGTATTTCTTCACTGTGTTGTTCTCAGACCCTCTTAGGAAAAAATGAGGTATTTACCAAAGCTAGACCACTATTTGCAACCTGTCCTACTGATTAGCTGCAGTCTGAGCTAGTTCTCGATTTTTCTTCTGCTGTGAGGAGTGGTGATTTGTGAGGGTAGGGAAGGGCCTGGACGTGGATGGTGTTTTTATGAAAATACAACCATCTCAATCCCTGCCCAGACTGAGAGAGTGGCATGCTCATCCCAGGCCTGAGGCACATTAGCTCTTTATGTCTCTCTTGGGCAATAACTAATATAACTTGTTCATTCATTCAACAATATTTCCTGAGCACCATCTACATGCCAGGCAAGGAAACCACTTCCAAAGGACACCATTCACTTCAATAATGGAGATAAAAATGGAGCAAGACATTAGAAAAGGTCCACAGCTCCTAAGTCAGGCCAGCCAATGGGACGGGGTGATGTCAGTGGGCATGTGGTTTGCCTGTGTGCACGTAAGGCCCTGATGCCTGCTTCCCAGCTCAGAGGTGTCCTTTCCAGGGTGGCAGTGGGGAACAGCTGTGTCACGCCCAAGAGGCTACTTAATTTAGGGACTTATATCATTTATTTTGGATGATTTTTTAGCATTTTGATCAAGAAAAAAGTACATTATGATCAGACATCCAAGTAAATGAGAGAATGTAACAGCTTGCCCATGTCCAGCCCAGAATTCCGCAACATGGGCTGCCTTCTTCTCATGTAGGTTTTTGTTTCCGTTTTTTGAATCCTCAGCAGGTTTTAGAATGATTTTACGATCTTAGAGACCTCTGGGTTCAATGTCTTCATCTTAGAGAAGAAGAGACAGACCCAGGGATTGGAATGTACTGCCCACAGCCCTCAGCCACTGGGGGAGGGTCAAGGCCAGAGACAAACTTGGGCCTTCTTTTTTTTTTTTTTTTTAAGTTTCAGGTGTACAAAATAATATAATAGACGTTTACGTCCCTTGCAAAGTGATACCCCCTCCCCCAATCTACTACCCCTCTGACATTGTATATAGCCGTTACAATTCCATTGACTCTCTTCCCTATGCTGTACTCCACATCCTATTATATCTATATATAAAATAGTTGACATTCAGTATTATTCAGCTTCAACTTCAGGTGTACAGCACAGTAGTCAGGCATCTACAGTCTATGAAATGGTCTCCCTAGTAAGACAAGTGCCCATCTGACACCCTAAAAAATCTTTAAAACATTATAAATTATATTCCCCAAACTGTCTTTCATATCCCCCTGGCAATATTGTGGCTACTAATTTGTACTTTCTAATCCTTTTACCTTCACCCCAAGCTGGGGCACTTTTAATCCCTCATGACCCAAAGCCCTACTCTCTACGTTCTGATGTTGTCAAACTGACCAAGACAAAACAGAGTCCCATAGTCAGGGAACCCAGGCAAAGTGGCTGTCAGGTCCCCGACCTCCACTTTTCCGATACAGTGTGGAGCACCAGAGGCCACCTTGTGGTTTCCTCAGCCCAGAGAAGCTCATCCTAGTTAAAGATCATAAAACCCCTTACCTATTAATAAAATCTAAACTAGCATGTTCCTCTATCTTCACAACATACCCCAAAGCGCTTCTGGCTCTTCATGTTTGCAAAGCTCTCTGCTGGGCATCGACCTCCTGTATGCAATGCTGCTCAGCAGAGATCTCACCCCAGGAAATCTCTCAGAGAAATCCTTCCCCCACAACAGATTCCTTCCCACACCCCAAAAAAGATGAGAGTGCTTTTCAAGGAGCCTGAGGTGTGTAACTGTACTCACTGTGAATTCTGTGGGTGTCATGGCAGGTCTGATGTAAGCTTGCTTCTAGAAAGAGAAGGCAAAAATAAAAAAGAGGACTTGTAAATGAACAGTTATAAACACCTAAAGATGGAGATTACATGTTCAAGCTGTTCTTGTGGGAAAAAAAATCCCAAGCAAGAGTTGGGGTCCATGTTAGGCAAATGTCACATATTCTAGATTCCAAAATCACCTTGGTTGTTCACATAGAAATGAGAGAAACCGCTCCTCTAAGGGCCTTTTGGGGCTTTGACATTTCCTCAGCATGTCCTTTATCCATTAGCTTGTTTTCTCTTGATTCAACTTCTCTCTCAGGGTCTGTTTTGCTGAATCCCCCCACCCCCCAACCCCGACCACACGTGCACGTTTTATCAACCAAGAAACTCCTAAAGATGACAGGTGAGTGTGTGACTTGGGGATACTCTGGCCCAGACTCGGCAGGGGAAGGGCCTCTGGGTAACCAGGTGGCAAGAGCTTGAGGGTGTGGTGGCATCTGTCAGTATCGGGGTCCCTGTCCCAGAGGGGCCCAGCGCCCCAGCTCCTACCTGTGTGCTCTGCTTACAAGCTCAGGGAAGGATAATAGGCCCTGTTTTCTCTGGCTGTAGCAGGAAGAGGAATTCCTAGGTTTGTTTACCAAAGAAAATGGAGTTCCTTAATGTACAGGGCCTCCAAGCTGACTGAAATCAATCTCAGCTGCTGTTTTCATGCGTTTTTGAATCTCTGTAAAACCCACACCCGCGACAGGACCAGGGGAACAACAAACAGCTCGACTACCTTCAAAGAAGGAGTCTGTGCCTGAGTCCAGCATTTCCTTTTACACCTCTAGTGAGTATATATCAAAGAAAAATGTCCAGTGTCACACCCACCCCCAGGTTCTAGAAAAAAACATTCTCCTTCATCAATCCATCCCTAACCTGTTGGTTTCCTTTCCAGAACAAAATGTTCTGACTCACCCTGCTTTTCTGAAAGTCTGATAGGTTTTCAATACATAATGTGTGGTACAACCACTTTGGAAAACCATTTGTCAGTTTGTTAAAAAGTTAAACATACACTCACCATGGGATCTAACCATCCCACTCCTAAGTATTTACCTAAGAAAAATGCAAGCATATGTCCACACAAAGACTGACCTACGCATGTTCATAGCAGCTTTGTTTGTAATAGCCAACTGCTGGAAACAGCCCAAATGTCCACTGAGTACAGTGAATGGACCAGTAAAATGTGGACGATCCGTACAATGGAATAGGAGTGAATGACCGATATGCACAGCTGCATGGATGGGTCTCAAAATAATTACGCGAAGTAGAGAAACCAGACCCAAAAAAGGTGCATAGTATGTGATTCCACTTATATATAATTCTAGAACATGCAAACTAATCTATAGTGACAGAAAGCTGATCAGTGGTTTCTTGGTGAGAGAGAGAGAAGGGGAGGACAGGGCAAGATGAAAGGGCAGGAGGGGTGCAGAGGCATCTAAGAAAGCCTTGGGGGGTGATAAACATGTTCACCCTGTTGATTGTGTGATGGTTTCATAAGTGTATACATATGTCAGAACTGATATTCTGCACTCTAAATATTTGCAGTTGACTATAGTTGGACTGCAATTAAGTGGTTAAAGTGAAGAAAGAAAAAAGCAACAAGATCTGATGAAAACTTTCTGGTTTTCTTTACTCAGTCATATCTGGCCATTAACAGGCAAGGAGAAAGGCAGCCAGAACTTTCTCTTGCAACCTCCCTCCCAGCAGCTTCTCCAAAGTGCCTTGGGGCGCCTTGTGCTGTTCTATGGGCATTGAGGGCTCAGCATGAACTCATGATTTTAAGATTAGATGTTAGATAATTTGTGTGTGTATGTATTTGTGTTTCACCTACATATTTCCTGTCTCTTTCTGCTGAGAGGACCTAAAAGTAGTGACACGCAGTGGAATGAGCAACCAGTGCCCAGATCTTGGTTTCTAATTACCTTTCTGCACCAAAAGGAACCAAGACTCCTTGGAGAAATGTGTGATTCCGGAGCTTGGGCAGGAAAACTACAAGATGAACCCGGAACTGCTTTTTGCACCAGAAAGCAAGGACGTGTTCAAAGAACCATGAGAAGTTGTCGAAAGAATGTAGGAGCCAATTTGAGGGGGACCCCACTAGCCAAATCTGAGGCAATTTGAGCATCTAAACAATTAATGATATCAATAACTATAACACATTCAATTAAATGAGGGTCCATGAACCCAAACTGATGAAAATAAATGAGAAGAAAAAGTTCTTATGGTGCCAACTAATAAATATAGAAGGAACCATGGAATTAGAAAAGCACCAATGGATGTTCAAATTTGTGGGGGAACATTTCATGAGGAATAGGATAGTTACTTCATCTCAAAAGATCTCACCGAAAATTACATATTGCCCATTAACATTATCATTCTCTCTATTTTTTTTTCTGAATCATGCTCTAAAAAAATAAAGTCTTTTTTTAAATGCCCAGTTAAGTTTGGAAGATTCCCAACTCAGCTCATTTAACTTTATTACATTTTGGGGAATAGGGAGATTGGTTTGGGGAACATTTGTTAGAAAACACTTCATATATGTCTAGTACCCATGGCTTGTCACCTCTTTTGTACTTGCATAAAGGGACTGAGTATAAATCAGATCATATCTGAGAACAGACATTCCCAAAGAAAGAAACCACATAAGGAGGAAGGACTGGCTTTGGTTGTGGTTAGGTACATGTAGTTTTAGGTTGAGAATAGGGATGGATGATAATGTAGGTAAGAGTTTGGGGGAAAGACCTCCACGCTGCTGTGGACAGTGTAAATGTGTGTGGCCTTTTCGGAGGGTTACGCCAGATCTGTCAAAATTTACAGAGCACAACAGCTCTGACTCAGCAAGCACTTCATCGGCTGGGGACACGCCCTACTGGTATTCTCACAAAAGAACATAAAGATACATGGACAGGGATGTATGTTACAGCTTTTTCTTTTTTTCAGAACAAAAAACAAACAACCTAAATATCCAGGAATTGGTAATATTCTGATACATCTATTCAATAAATCACCTGTAGTCAATAAATAGAATAAAACAGACCTCACACTGATACAAGGAGGTCGCCAAGGTTATTAGGTAAAAATGCAAAGTGTAGAAGACTGTGTTGCTTGAGCTTTTCAAAAATACATCAAAGGTTGATGGGCCGGCCGAGTGGCGTGATGGTTAAGAATTCGCTTGGGGCACCAGAGGGCCCCGGTTCGGATCCCACATATGAGGGCCAGTGACACTGCCCTCCACAGCTAAGATGCTGAACAACAGCTCAACCTGGAGCTGGGCTGCTGTGAGTCACCGGCGTCAGGGAGGCTGCAGCCCCTGCTGCAGTGGTTGCCATGGGCTACTGTGTGTAGCCAGCAGCCAGCGTGAGCGGCCAGCAGCCACAGTGAGCAGCCGTCCAGAAGCCGGCAACTGATCTGCCTCACCTGGGACGAGCACAATGATGGTGCCAACTTGGGCCAGTGAAGCGACGTCCTCCACAACTAGACTGAAGAACAAAAGGACAGCAACTTGTCTGTTCCCCTTCCCCCAATTCTCCAGCGCTCCCATCCCCCAATTGCCCAATTAAAAAAAAATACATCAAAGGTTGATAGACTCCCTGCTGATTACTACTGGAACATTTTCTGGAAGACGATTGAACAACAGGGCCAGAGGAAAGTGAGACTTTCATTTTTTTGTAGGTTTTGTAAGCTATTTAAATGTTTTACTTTGCCTATGAAATTGTATTTTAAGAGCTATCATAAAAATAACTTGTCAGCTTTAAAAAAAAAAAAAAGCAGCAGCAGCCCAGTGATCTTCCATTCCATACATACACATGTTTGCAAAACTCGTCCAAAGGAGGAACTGGTAGGCCCACTCCAGCTGGCCAGGAGAGCAACTAGCATGAAAAAGCAAGTCTAGTAATTAAATTACCTGAGGCTACTCTTTGCAACTTTGAAATCCTACGCTAGCTTTTTATCAAGGTTTTACAAAGGTTTATCTTCCTTCCACAATAAATGTGCTTCTGGTTCCTAGAAAATTCGGAGTGAGCCAAAGAGTCAAAACGAACCTAGACCCACCATCTAAAGATAGCACCGACGGCCTTTCTATATAGTCCTCCTTGCTCCTTGTCAGAATGCTTTTTGAATATTTTATTCCACAAATTGCAAAGTCTCAGAGCTTGCTTTCATTTTCTTCTCGCCCCTGAGAAGGAGGGAGAAACAGAGGGGTGGGAAAAACCCACATATGACAAAACATACTGAAAGCGAGGGACCTCTCAACGGTCTTTTGGAAGTACACTGGCGTTTGACTCAGCACTACCCCAAATCTCTCCCTCACCGTTCAACGTGGCCTCATGTTGGGGCTGCAGCCACCCTCCAGTTTTGCAGCACAGTGGGGTAAGGTGAGGCAAAGCACAAGGGACCAGAAGTGAAAGCCCCCATCTGCCCTTTGGTTCACCCCTTTCTGCCTATGGGAACTTGGCAAGGAGTGACATGCCCCAAATGGAGGTGATAGCCCAGCCCACGCCAAGGGCTTTTTGGGAAGGTTAAGCGCAATGCTGTGCGTGAATGCTCTTCACAGGATGCAGAAAGCTTTGTGAGAATAAGGGAACATTCTTCATCCCATAGCTCACTTATTTAATGTACCCTGACACCAGGTATACTTGCTTAGCTTAAGCAGTGTATGACCTGTGTCCTCAGAAGTTCAGATTCAAATGCAAAGGATTCATCACGGCTGCAAACACTAACAATGGTAAAAGCTAGGAAGCGCTTTGGGAATTGGGAGAAGGAAGTCATGTTGTCCAGGGCTGAGGAAAACCCAGGAGGGCTGCATTGAGGAGGTGAGGTTTTTGCTGGCCCTTGAAGGCTGGAGAGCATGGGGACATGCAATGAGAGGAGAAAACATTGCTCCAGGGTCGGGAAACATATCAACAAAGGCATGAAAGCCAGAAAGTGTGAGGTGTCTGCAGGGGCCTTGGAGGTAAGAAGAGAGCTGTTCGTTCACCAGAAGTGGAAAGAGCCAATTAGAAAAGTTAGCCTGGAATCCGTTACTATCCAACCATTATTTTTCTATCCTCTACTGTCCTTAAGTAACCAACATGAAAGTCAGCAGTGAGCTGCTGTGGATGTAGCAACTCCCCACGTCCGCAGGCTCCGCAGCTCAGAGTAGCTCAGTGAACTGGACGCTAATGTGAGTCAGGAACAGAGTCCTCTCTTTGGTCTCTGTCCAGCTTGATACAGGGTCAGGTGCCCACCCAGTCCCCACCCTCAGGGCGCTACCCTGGGCCCCGGGGCTCCCAGTGCCAGCCTAGGAGCAGGGCGCACATGAGGGGCCTTCAGCGCAGATAGATATTGGAAGAAAGGCTGTCAAACTCTGAAATGGCAGATTGGCTTTCGTCTGTTCAGCTGAGGGAGGAAAGAGACAGGCTCTCAAAGACTACCTGCGGCTGCACAGCCCAGCGTGGCTCTCAGCACAGCTCGCTAGCCGTGCCGGCTGGCTATGGAGCAAGGGCTCGCTCGGAACGAAAGGACAAATCGGCATTCTTGGGTGGGTCATTTAAAATAAAGCAGCTTGGCTTTTTTTCTGACTATAAAGGAGTATTTTCACAACGTACAAAGAAAATCCCCCCACAGCAGACATATATAATGAAAATAAAAGTCAAACACCTCTTTCCTAGTTTGGCCACTTGTTAACTTTCTGAGATACCGCCTTCTCGATTTTTGTCTGTAACACACACACACACACACACACACACACACACACACACATGAACACAGGTAAGGAAATCAGACTACACAATGTACTATCTTGCTTTCTGGTTAGCAGTCGCTCCTGGATCGCTTTTAATACCAAGTCACCGTGGAGCTATGTCATCCGATTGGATGACTGCTGAGTATTCCGTTGTCCTGGAACCTCTCAGACCCTAGGACCTCATGTGGGCTTCACTTCCCCTGCCCTTGGCCACCTCCTTGGTCACTTGTCCCCAGCACCTACTTATCCCTCCTTTAAAGTACATACAAATCACAGAACAGACTGCCCTGAATCTGTACTTCATGTGTGTGGGTGGGAGGGCGTCTCATTACTCACCTAAGAAACCTGGGCAGGCCACGACCTGCTTCGTCTTTGCCTCCCTGGCATCTTCTAGCCAAGTGCCTGGTGCCATGACTACTGAACATATGAGTGAAAGCCTGGGTTTTAGAAACCATCGTAGCAGAGCACAGCTGAGGACACAGGTGACACTGGGACAGGGGAGGAGGAGGAGCAAGGGTGATACTCACAGGCTCCAGGAGAAGATGACCCCACCAGCTGTCTGCCTGAGATGAGGGGGCAAGTCTTCTGAGTTTCTGAGCAGGCAGCGACCTCATATACACACCAGAAAGGAAACCAGGCCACCCTGTCTGCGTTGTCACTGGCGGGGGCATTCCAGAGGGGTGGGGAGTGGGGAGTCACCAGCTGCAGCTTTTAGCAGTCAATGGAGTCGATGATTTGAAATGAAATCCTAGAACAGAAATGAAAAGCCTAGAACTGCTGGCTAAGGGAAAACCGTCTTCTTTGAAAATGCGTGTACAGGCTGATTAGCTAAGAACGCTGTCTTTTTCTAGACAGCACAGCGTCTCACAGGGAATGGGGAAGTAGAGAGCCCCGGTGAGAGGGCTCAGCCTTGTCATGCTGGCACAGTTATAAGGTTTCTTTGGATGGTATTGTCTGAACAGCTCTGTGTGAGATTGTCACCCCCAGTGCTGTCTGTCCCCGTGCAATCCTTTCTGGCCTTGACAGATATACCTAAACCCACAGAGCTGTGCCGTCCCATACGGTAGCTGTCAGCCACGTATGCCTATTGAAATTAAAATTCATTCGAATGTTACTCGTTCCTTAGTCACACTAGCCACATCTCAAGTGTGAAAGAGCCACATGTGGCGAATGGCTACTGCAGGAGACAGCGCAGACATAGCCCCTGACCCTGATCTCTGTACGTTCCATTGAATGGCACTACTTTAGAAAGTCATGTATGTGACGCCTATCTAGGAACAGGGAGTGTTGGAGGCCCACAAACACCTTAAAATTGGGGTCGAATGTGGTAAGGTTTTATTTTGACATGACCACTATGCTTCAGGTACATTAACACTGATAACATGTTTCATTTGGTTAATTATGGGTACTTAGATGAAATTTTGCAAAAGGCTAAACACCCAGAATGTTCTATTTTCAATGAGGCTCACTGATGAAGTCCTCCTGGCCACAGCTATGGTGGGGCCTTGGATCATGACACAGTTGTATCCTCTCTGGGTGCAAAGAAAAGGCTCAAGTTGGTTCCTTGTTGTGATTGTAACAGAGGCCTCTTTTTTATATTTGTTCTGGGGGAAAAATCAACAAACACAGTCCCATGGAGACTGAGTTCCTCTTTGTGGTATCTTTCTCATCCTGGGGATTCAGGGGTGAGCTTCAGCAGGGTGGGCCTCCCCAGACATGTGGCCCATCAATCACTATCCATCTGGACAGAACAAAGGGACGTGTCAGGTGCAGATGGATTGATTCATCACCTAAATAGGAAAGGCCGGTGATTACCCGCTACGACAGGTCCAGATCGTGAGCAGTAAGAATGAAAGCGATGGTTGATTCAGCAGCTTTGAGGGAGCAGTGAGTTCCCTTCCCTCGCCTCACATTCGTTGAGCATCGTGTCTAAAACAGTGCATGACTGAGAATCAGCCAGACCCTCTGGATTTTCAATCCTCCGCTACATCGGCAATTGTTGACAGAAAAGGGAGGGGCCCTAGAGGGAAGAAAATGCTCCATTAACTGATTTTCTGGCTGTCTTTGGCCGGCAGGAAAGCATCTACTTCTCCCCTGTGTTTGGCTGGGACCTGGGAAGGCTTTCAGGAGGCTGAGATACGCACACGCTGTGGGTACAGGAAGAGGCTGTGCTTTCCACCTTCTCTTGGCTCAGGCTGTTTCTTCCCCAGGTAAGGGCGTCCCAGCAGGCACTGCTTGCCTCCCTCGATGGTTGGGTGAGGCAGCGGGAGGAAGGGAAGTGGAAGAGGAGGTCAGGGAGGAAGAGAAGGAGTAAAGATGCCATCGTGAGGAGATTCCCTCCCATGTGATCCCCATGGTCCAGGTGAGGCAGGGACACTCAGGTAGCACCCAGCCCTCAAAGAGCTGCTTCAGGATTCCCTGGTCCCCTCCGCTGGGATGCAGAGAGGAGTCACAAGGCTGGGGAGGCAGGAAGATGCAAGCAAGTGGTAGAGAGAACTCCTCATTTCTCAGAGGAGCCTGGATCAAACGTGATTCCTTTTGCTGTTGTCCAGTTGAGGGTCATTCCTTGGAGGGACAGTCCCATTCTTTAGTTTTCGTTGCTACGTTTCTCTCTTTGCAGATAGAATTCAGAGTGGAGTGGTTAAAGGAGGTTACAGGTTCCCTTTGGCAAAGAGAGGGTGTTTCTCTCTTTGCAGTCTCACCCTGCTAAAGAGGGCAGGGTGGCGTGTGCATCCCCTCGGTTCCACGGCCAGGTGCCATGCCTGGAGTGGAAGGGTGTTTAGGGAATAACTGTGGAATGGAAGCTGCAGTCCACAACCTCTGCTGTCTAAACAGAGAGCAGACCCAAGTCAGCTTGGTTGGAGGTGCCAATGGGAGTGTCAGGTCTGGGTTTCCTCTCGTTCATGCCCACATTATGAGAGTCTAACACAGGTTTGCTCCAATCCTCTATTTTCCAGGTTCTCCATATTTAAAACTAGATTCATGATCTTGTTCTCATCCTTCCTGAGCTTCCCATACATACTGGGAGAGTCACATTCCAAAAGCACGGAGAGGTTTGGGAAGAAGACAATGCTAGATTTTTATTCTTTATCGATTAAGGCCTTATCTAAACTTGGGAAGCCCAAAGTGTCTAGAAGAGGTTAACAATAGTCTGGTGGTGAGGGTCTGATCGGTGCAGGAACAAGGGGTCCCAGGGGCAAACTTCCAAGGAGAAAATTCCTAAAAACTTTTTTTTGCCCACTGGCTGCCAGAGGTCCGGGGTCATGGGGTCTTGGCTATGGCTGCAGCCCAGCAGCACATTCTAGCAGCTTATCAATCATCTTCTGATTATATTACTGGTTAGAATGAAGCTCTTCTAAGTCCTGGGAATCTAGAGTAGAGCCACCCAATAAAGCGTTCTACAGTGGTGGAAATGGTCTCTGTGTTGTTCAAATGTGCAGCCACCAACCATATGTGAATACTTAATGTACACTGAAATTGTGGCTAGGTGCCTGAGAAACTGATTTTTCTTAAATTTTATTTAGCTGCAATTGGTTTCCATTTAAATGTAAATAGCTACAAAATGGCTAGTGGCCACCATAGTGGACAGCGCAGATCCAAACTGACCCACCTTTCAGCAGCTAAAATCTACCTTAGCAAGAGCCTTATGATGGCTCAGTCTCTGATACAAGCCGAGGGCCATGGCTTGTGGCCAAACCACTCTCCCAGGCTTGAAGGAGAGCTCCTCCCTTCCGTTTTGCTAAATTCAGTTACCATGAATAGCCACTGAAAGTAAGGAGGCTGGTTAGGAGGCAGTTGTCAGAGGCAGAGAGAGAGAGGATATGAATGAATGAATGAATCAATGAATCAATGAATCAATGTCTACACCCTGCAGCAGCAGTGGGAATGAATGGGATGGGAGAGACATGGCCACGTGGCCCACAGGAGCTGGCAAATGATGGGGTGTTGCAGGAGGGGGAGAACAAGACCACTTGGAAGCCCTGGAAAGACTTGGGTGCCTTTCACAGAGAGGGGACATGAGAGGAAATGGTTTTAGCAGATAGTGATGCATTTAGCATTGGATGTCATACGGTGAAGGCACTAAAGTGAAGGTTTCTGAGGCTTAGAGGGAGGTCAAGAGTTCATTGTGCAGCCACAAAGCCCTTGCAGAATGTGCCATGAGCTATTGCTAAGAAAAGCTTTGCGTTTGCAGCACGTGAATCGTGAGAGCAGTTGCAGGATTTGTGATTTTATTTGCCTCATTTCTTAATGACAAAAAAGCATCCCTTCTGCACTGACATGCTTTATCTCCTTGGAAGATCTCACTTGCATCTTCATTCAACATAAGTGTGTCCAGTTCCTACGATGTGCCAGCACTGATCTAAGAGGTAGGGGTATAGCAGTAAATGAGACAGCTAATATTAAATTAAATGAAAGAATTAAAGCAGAGAGATGACGGGGCGACAAGAGGGTAAGGAAGGGCTCACTAAGGAACTGACATTTAGGACCTGAAACACAAGACGTTCCCTTAAAGTGAAGGCTAGGGAGACCATTCCCAGCAGAGGGAACAGGTGACGGGAAGAGCTCGATGTGTCCAAGGACGAGAAGACCAAGATGCTGGGGACAGAGAGGAGTCAGGGGCAGCCAGACAAACAGCGGGACCTGATTGGGCAAGGGCTTGAGACCAGGTTCTGTAGTTTTGATCGGATGCCAGGTGTGACAGAAACAGGTCTTTCAACCTTGTTTATTAAAAAAGCACTGAAGGGATTTACGTAGGCAATGACGTGATCTGACTTCCATGCCTAATAGCTCATGGGCCCCGGTGTGGGAAACTTCAGGGCTAACAGCAAAAGCTCGTGGTTTCTCAGCAGGAGGCCCACCAGCCGGCACCTGCTGACTGGGTGAGAGCTTCCCCTTAGCTGGGTCACCGCAGGAGCCAGGACCCTGTGCCTTGCCTGCCACGGTCCCTTATCCCACTTCTGCCTCTAGAGAGGCATCAGAGTGAATCCACAGTGCTCAGATATCTCCCCATCTCCTGACACCCTGGACTGAGGGAGGGCACCATGCTAACTGCACTTAACCTTTGCGGATGATGACAGCTATACATTCAGATGTGTTGGCGGGCTTCTCTGTCTTTCTTTTTTTTTTTTTTTTAAATGACTATTTTTTAGAGCAGTGTTAGGTTCACAGCAAATTTGAGCAGAAAGAACAGAGTTCCCACGCATCCTCTGTTGCCACACACACGCAACCTCCCCCAGTTATCAACAGCCAGAGTGGCACATTTGTTAGAAATGATGAACCCACACTGACACATTATAATCACCCCAAGCCCACAGTTTACATGAGGGTTCTCTCTTGGTGTTGTCCATTCCATGGGGTTTGAACAGATGTATAATGACGTGTATCCACCATTACGGTCTCATACAGGGCAGCCTCACTGCCCTAAACATCCTCTGTGCTCCACCTACTATTCGTCCCTCCCATCCCCCAGCCCTGGATATCACTGATCTTTTTACTGCCTCCATATGAGGTCAAACAATTAAGTTCGCAAACTCATCTTAGAAAAAGTCCTACATACCTCACAGCTGAATATCTCTATGGTTGCCTTCAAATTATTCCCCTTGGGAAGCTATGCACCGACACCAATGCCTAGTCCACCCTTCAAAGCAATTTTGGAACTCTTTTTCTGGAATGGCCATCAGAGCTGTCATCGTATTACCCTTGATGCCCTGAATGTCATCAAAAGGTCTTCCTTTCAATATTTCCTTTATCTTTGGGTAAAGAAAGAAGCCATTGGGGGCCAGATCAGGTGAGTAAGGAGGGGTGTTCCA